TTCAAAATTATATACCTACCTTAATCAATATGGCAGAGCTTACCATCACTTCCTGTGTTATGAACCATTGACACTAGGAAGAAAAAAAAATAATCTCCTCGCTCAAGAAACAAAGGATCAAATAGTTTTTAACCAGTTCCCATGTTATCCAAAACAAAGCCTAGAGTTTTGGGAGCAGTTACTGTACTAACATTATTATTTCACTCAAAACATTAGCTTACACAGACTTCTCCTTTAAAAAGATGTCACACTGCAGAATATGAAAGAGGTGAATAAAAGGATCTCGGTCATCTCTAGATTAGGTTACATCCATTTTAAAGCCGGCAAAAAGGGAGAGCTCTTCTCTGAAGTCAGGGCTGTTCTTTTATGAGACTAAGACTACACATATTGAATACATCTCTACATTCTTTTCCCTAGGTAAGCACAGAGGCTTCATGTAAGAAGCAGCGACACAGAAGTGAGCAGCTGTTTACCGGATCCTTATTCAGCATAATGAAGTATGGAAGCAATAGTCTCCAGATGGCAATGTTTGAATCCTGCTTGGCAGATGACTGTGTAAACAAGTTATACCCTCAATACCTTCCGGAACTCTGCCCTTTACAATTAAATTTGAGCAAACAACTTTTCTGCCTTGTGATTCTCATTAACCTTTCCCATACCAGGCAAGAGAGAAATTCCCTGATCAAGCTCGCTTTGTGGCTTGTATGAGAGCCTACTAGTATTTCATCTCTGGCCTTTTTTGTGATTTACTAGGAACAGTCAGTTAGCCTCAGAACTAGAAGCTTTTATGAACAGCTGAGAGACTCAAATTCTAGCAAATCTATAAGAAAGGAAGGAAAGTTCTTGCCAGGATAACAAGGCAGTTCCAGAGATGTAGCTCTACCACAGGGGTGAACAAATCGGAATTCAGAAGCCAGTCTATCCAATCCAGGAGCCAGCAACAATTTTTTTGGGACAATTGGAAAAAAGTTGCATGCCAGCTGTAATTTTTAAAGGATCATTAGCCATCAGGCTCCTGGGATTAGGCCAGCCCTGCTTTACCATAAGCCATAAGCAAATCTATAGCCTCTGTTCTGTCCCCATTCCTCCAATATTGCTGTTCAGACAAATCTAAACCCTGCCACTGCTAACCTTTAAAATGCCAGTTTCCTGGCTGTTCATTAATACATTGAGTCAGTGACCCAGAAGCAGCATAGAAATTAGGCAGAACTCCCGATCACATAATTGTTCCACGTTAATTACCAAAGTATTAAAACAGAAGTAAATAAAAAATGCTGGGAAGTAGGGATTTTGGGCAGAAGACAAATGCAAAGTCTCTCACCCCCCCCAAAAAATGTTTTTGATGTTCACTGTACTGTGCATGTGCCCTGCACTCTACACACTCAGCCCATTCACAAATGTCTAAAATGCGGTGAATGAGCCTGAAGCCAGGGAAGATGCAACTCCTGTGCACACGCATTACATCAGTGGCCACCCAATGGCCAAAGGTCACATATAACTGAAAGTGTCAGCAGCAAAGATGGTGGGTTGGGGGACAGAGCAGAAGACCAAAGATTGATCAACCAGCACTGGAGAATGGCACACTTTTAAGGTACGTGTCCCCTAATGTGCAAGTATGCTGTGAACATTAGGGCAGGAACACAGCCTTCTAACAGCAGTTAGCTTCCACTTTAAAGGACAAATGTACCTTTGGTACATGTTGCCCTTTAAGGGAATATGCTCACTCTCCTGCGTGCAGCCCACCTAAAAATACCTACCTTCGTCCCCAATCCAGCAGTTTACGTCTGCCCTGTCCAGAGCCACAAAGTCTTGGTACAGAAAGCATCCCTGCCAGGTCCTCTGCACCCAGTGCTCAGCAACACCATCAATTCCTATGGGGAAAGCTGTACAATTGCTGATCAAGGATGAAAGAAAGTATGAAAAGAGGGGACGCCTTAAAGAATATTTTGTACCGAAGGTTGTCCTTCAAAAGCTATGGGATCAGCATGACACAGGCAACTACTTTTTTCCAGAAAGCAGAAGTGAACAGTCCACAGAGAAGTGGAAATATGCTTTCTGCAAATATATGGGCATATCGAGGCAGACCTTCACTCAAAATTAAAATATGGCTTCATTAGACTTCTTCCCCGGCTGCAAGGCATCAGGAGGTGACAACCAGTTCCCGAATGCAAAATGGTAGCACAGTAGATCCTGTGAAGAATTAGGTGCAAGGAAGACAGCACTGGACTTCATGGGCTGGTAAGCTGCCGACTAACTTTCCCTGTGGCGGGTGAAGTTCCTCTTGAAGGAACCACTTCTGAGACACAGCAGGATAAAAGGACAAATGAAAACCCCCAAACATACCAGTATGTAGAAGTTAAGAGAAACCTATTCTTTGATCTGAAAAAAAAAAACAACCCATCTGTGATTTTTTCCCCCCATATAGCAGAAGTGAGGAAAGTCCCTTTTACAATGTACAGCCCAGGTGCTTACACTGAGATTTGATTTCCATTGTGAAACACTGCCAACAATGAGAACCAGCGCAGATCGCAGGAAAACACCTGTCTCTTTTCAGGAAATAAAGATCCACGTTACTGTAGAACAGGCACATTTTCTGCTCATAGATGAGGCATCACTGATGAAAAGCAATCATTTAATGGGTATCTATGGTCAAACCCCAAACAAAAAACACTGGATTTCTAAATTGATTCAATCTCCATAAAATTCTATCCCACTCCTAATAATCATATTGAAGTAGACGTTTGTAACCTTACTGAAGAGGCCCATAGGATGTACTTCCTCCATTCCTCTCAGTTTTGTGTAGTAGCAGCAGCTTGTGACCCTCCTTGCATGCCCACAATACTTTAAAATCCCTCTTCAAAGTGTGCATGCCTTGAAAGAAGACACATGGTCCGACATTGCTGGTGTATCAGAATATGCTGGTCACCTGGCTTCTATACTTCTAAACAAGCACGAAGGCCAGAGCATCGACAGCCAAGCAACTAGCATTTTGACAAGAGATCAGCAGTAGCAGCCCACTTTCTTATCTTTGGACATGTTGCTAAAAGCAGAATATCAACGCAAACCGGAGCCAACACAAACCACAGGTGACCATTTACATCACAGCGGTCAGTTAAGGTGCTTTAGCATGTCAATATGCGTTGTATTAAGGGAAATGCACCAAAAAGGTAAATATACAATTTATGGCAGCAAAGAGCAACGCGCATTAGTGCATTGCAACACATGTCCATCAGCAAGGAGCATTGGCGTGCCATTCAGAAAGAAAGGCCCCATTGCCATGCTTTAATATAATAAGTGTGAATGGGCCCTTATTGCTTTATAAAAGTGTACCATGGGTCACCAATACATCATCACTGACTCAGACAAGTATTTAACCACCCAGCATCTATACAAGTAGAACACAATGATACTCTGGACTTATGGGCTGCTATTTTAACTGCTAGGGTGCATCACAACTATGCACACACTGTAATGCTCTAGGATTTTCAGTGGCTCCTCCATGCACATCCACACACCATGGAATGCTTGTGACCCAATTCTTATAACAATGAATCACCAGCAGACAGGCATTAGCAATTTTTGGGGCCTCCATGGACCTCTTCAAGGCAGCTGTCACTGTTGGGGTCCATCAAGACCACAAAAATATTGCATTACAGTTTTATGAACTGCCTCTGCTTGCCAATGCCAGTGTGCAGGATGCTTTGCCATCCCAATGACAGTGTAATCTGTTCTGCAAGTAAAAAGGCAAAAGATCAATAA